ATGAATTGTCTGATGGTCTTAGGCAACTCCCTTGAAAGAGTCGTTTGACTCTGTATGGGGGTCACTACCCACAAACCATTGCTTTAGAGGAAGAAAATGGAAGGAGAATTGATGAAGTTATGTTATAACCTCAAAATCCCAGGAATGGCAGGCAAAGGCAAGCAAATGTTTGTGAGTTCAGGGTCAGACTAATCTACAAAACTTATTTCAGAACAGCCAGGGAGGTTACACAGAGAGATCCTGTCTTGAAAAACCAAAAATGTAAAAGAATTAATTTTGAAATTGTTAATCTAGAAAAAAAACACTAAAATAAAGAATTTTTTTTTAAAAAAAAGTTAATCTAGAAAGCTGGATACTTTACTTAAATGAATAGATTATATTTTAAAAAACAAACTACATGCACATACGCATATAACCATAAGAAACATTACTAAATAAAAATTATAAATTATAAAATACAAAAAGTTAATGTTAAACAATATAAGTGCATTAAAAGTTTAGTTACATTTACTAGAAATATATTTGATCTATTGACAACACAGTAATAAAATTAATTTAAATACTAATCTTTTTTATAGACAGGAAAGACTAATAATCAGATTGATGACTACCTTAATTGTCATCATAGAACTACATCTGGTAACTGATAAAATCAGATGCAGAGATTCATAACTAAGCACTGGACCAAACTCCTTAGAGTCCAGTTGTAGAGAGGACGAGTGACAATATGAACAAAGGGATCAAGACAACTATGGGGAAACCCACAGAAACAGCTTACCCGAGCAAGTAGCAGCTCTCTGACTCTGGCCAGATAGCTGGGGAACCTGCTAGAGTTCTGAACTAGCTCCTCGGAATGTGAGTAACAGTTGTGTGGTTAGGAAAGTCTGTGAGGGTTCATTAACAGTGGAACCAGCATTTATTCCTAGTGTGTGAACTGTTTTGATTTTTTTTTTTTTTGAGCCCATTCCCTACAACGGTTCAGCCTAGATATTGGAGGGAGGGATGGTCCTGCCTCAAGTGATATGACATGTTAACTCCTAGTGAGAGACATCACCCTCTATAAACAGTGGACAAGGGGTGGGGTTGGGAAAGGGGGAAAAAAAAGCAGGGGAGGGAGAGGGAACTGGGATTGTTATGTAAAATAAGACTGCTTAAAAATAAACAAAATATAGCTCATAATCATAAAGATTAAGAAAGTTAATTCATTGATATAGTAAGGATATTTCAATTGAAATACTCATAAATAATCATAAAAAACTGTGACATTGTCTAGATCTATCCATTTGTCTGCAGATTTTAAGATGTCATTATTTTTTTTCTGCTATATAATACTTCATTGTGTAAATGTACCACATTTTTCTTTCCATTCTTCATGTGAGGGGCATTTAGATTATTTCTAGGTTCTGGCTATGACAAAGAATGCTGCTATGAACATAGTTGAACACATGTCCTTATGGTATGCTTGAGCATCCTTTGGGCATACACCCAAAAGTGGTATTGCTGGGTCTTGAGGAAGATTGTTTCCTATTTTTCCGATAAATCGCCATACTGATATTGGGCGAGGTAGCCCAGACCCAGGAAGACAATTATTATATGTACTCACTCATAAGTGGTTTTTAAACATAAAGGAAAGATAACTATCCTACAATTCACAGTCCCAGAAAACCTAGATAATAATGAGGACGCTAAGAGAGACATACAGGGATCTAATCTACATGGGAAGAAGAAAATGATCTCCTGAGTGAATTGGGAGCATGGAGATCATGCGAGAGGTTGAAGAGAAGGGGAAAGGAAGGGAGAGGAACAGAGAAAAAAGTATAGCTCAATAAAATCAATAAAAAAGAAAAAATATGACATTATGTTACATGAATTAAAGGCTGTTAATATTCTATTTTTCTTAAAATAATTGAAAGATTGATAATCATTGCCATAATCATTGCCATTGTTCTTATAGTATACAGCAGAGGCAGCATTCAATATAAATGGTTATAAAGGAGCCAATGGAAAGATATACCTTTAACAGAAGGTATCCTGGGTGGGGAAGTTAAGTGTAAGCAAATCTATTTAATCTCTCTACCTTCAAGATCATGTTCCTCATATCACTGTGTCTACCTAGGCTTTATTTAAATTCAACATTTTCTTCTTGATGGTTGAGTGCTGCTGACTCTGCTGCGAAGAACAGGTAAGAGATTCATAAGCATAAAGGTAATCAATATATAATGGCCTCTTAGAGAAAGGGGTGTTTAAAAATTTGATTTGTGGAGAGGAATACTGTAACCTAACATTTTTGTTAGTCTTCCTTTTAAAGCTATACTAAATTATTTTATTATTCCTTGGAATGTAATTTTAGACTTACTTTGTAGTTTTTAAAAAGAATAACCAATGACAAAGGTTTGGGCTGAAACGGAGGTGCATTTTTTTTAACTGCGTCCTCTTGGAAATATTAGATTCAGAAATAAGCTGAGCTATTTGCTTTTTTGTCTTATGTTTGTGTTTTTTTCTATCACGTCTATGCCTTTCATATAGATTTATAGTTTTAAAGGAGATGTGTAAGAGGAAAGTTTATTTAATTTGATCTGCAGGTAAATTCTTTGGCTTGTTTGAGGAATTATCTCAAATCCCCAACTCTTTGCAGTAGAAAGTTAACTTGCTCCTTTGTTGAGGAAGCATGTCATAAATAAGGTTCACATTAAGTCATGACAAAAGGAAGCATGAGTCTCACAAAGGCCACTGCAGTCTTTACGAGACAACTGTGCAACCCTGGCAAGGTGTCATGTGATACTTTCTTTTTCTAAATTATGTTGCTGATTTTAATTTCTGTATCTTTCAAATATAAATGGAATACACTTCGTGCAAAATAATTAAATGTGAGAAAGGAAATACAATTTCTCTATGGAAATCTCAGGTGTAAACAGAGTCAGCTACTCCAGTAAATGCTATGCTTAATCCTTTTGTGAACAAATCAGAAAATACTTTATTTACATTCATTGCCTAGAATAAAAATTTGAATATTGCAGTTTCTTTCCAATTATACCAATTTCCGTGTTGCAGCGGACAGATGGCATAAACACAGCAATCATTCTTTTAGGTTTGTTTGTAGTTTTATTTATTTATCTTTATTTTAGACACTGTCAAGACTGATCTTGATCTAGGATCCTCCCACCACATTCTCCTCAATGTTAGGGTTTATAGGTATACACTACAATGCTCAATCATTCATTTGGTTGAATTCTGTTTCAGAATTTTCTGTGAAAGAAAAACTTAGGTTTAAAATGAACTTAATAAACTTTAGATAACAGTAAATAAAATAAAAACGTATCTCTTTGTTTGTGGAAATATTTACTTTTAATCTCTTTATATATTTATCTCTACAATTTCTGGTATAGTCACCAGTTTAATTTTGGGCCAAAAGTTAATCTAAAATTTAACCTCCATATTTTGAAATAATTCTTAATATTGCCATTTTTCTGAGATGTGTATATGAAGATTAGGTTTATGTTATGGCATGATACTGGTCTCATTTGTATACCCTTTTGATTTCACAATTCAAGTATTCCAGACCACAAAATAAAGTCTGAAAATCAGATCCCTCCTGAATTCATTCCTATTCTTTGCTCCACTGACAATTCTTGCTGGAAAACAATATCCTGGGAGCAATTTCTATCCTGAATGAATGCAACAGATTACCTGTCATTCTATCTCAGAACCCTTCTCACTTGCTCTCTGTAAGACAAGGAGGAGGGCTGATAGGAGGAACATATTACATTCTAAATTTATGGTTTATTCTGACACTGTATTTGTTGATTCATAAATATGATTTCATTTTATATGCATTCATTCATGCTCTACAGGTGATTGCATAAGTATTAATTCTCTATTATATAATTATACTTGTTATGTAATATCACATTATGTGCTTTATTTTTAAATTTTATTTACTATATAATAGATATGAAAAACCTAATTTACATTAATTTTCCAACTATTAAAGGATTTTCCCCATAAAAAAGTAACAGTAAGATACCATATAGAACTGGAACTGACTTCTTGCTAAAGAAACTAACACGAATAAAGCAACTCATGAACAATTGTCCAGTCCAGTGAACTATTTATTATAGCTATTTTAAAGGTTATATTTCTGGGACTGTGGGTGAGGCTGGCATCAGCAGACAAAAATAAGTTCAATAAGATCAAATCTTTTAAAAATGTGAAAAGAAAAGAGATTAATATATGTGACCTATTCTCCAATGCCTTTCATATTAGCAAGTGTGAAAGGCTGTGTGTGGTGTATGACAGCTGTCACTGCCCTGTGTTAGCTTGCTTTTCAACGTAACTCTGTCAGATTGTTCTTGAATAAGCAAGCCTCTCAACTAGAAACTGTTTCCCAGAGCATTGTTCACCAACCATTACGTATCTTTAGTACATATTTTGTTCACCTACTTATAAAATGTTTTTCAGAAGTTAACAAAATAGTCTCTCAAATGTGTGAGAAAAGTGTTTATAGATGTAGCACGTGTGTTTGACTTTCATATTATTATGCTTCTGTCATAAACATATGATTATACAATTAAAGCAAAAGTTTTAGCATCAATAATGTAATGATATTAATGTACTACAGTCCAATAAATAAACAAATAAAACTTCCTGTTAGTGTTCTTACACTGGCCCTTTCAACTGACATCATCTAGACTTGAATGTAGAGTTGAAGAGTACATGGAGTTGATTTTTTTAAGGAGAAAATTATCAACAAGTAGGATATATAAACAAGGGTCAAGAGATCAAATTTGGAAGGGTCGAAAGGTAGGAATCACATTAAAAGGTAGAACACTTTGCTTTAAGTCTGAGACCATAAAATATGTATTCATCTAATAACACTTGAGAGAGAATTATTTAAAAAACATCAATTATTTTAAAAATATGTTGTCTCATTTTTTTTTATTTTTGCTAGAAAAGTGAAGAAATTTGTTCAGCATCTTCAGAAGTCTACAACAAACGACATCATGTTGAGCAACGTTTTGCTGTGGTCTCTTCAGATAAGTCTCCTAGGGGTCAGTCTTGGCGGGAATGTTCTCATCTGGCCAATGGAAGGCAGTCACTGGCTAAATATTAAGATAATAATAGATGAACTCATAAGAAAAGAGCACAATGTGACTGTCCTTGTTGCCTCTGGCGCACTTTTCATCACACCATCAACTAGTCCATCCCTGACATTTGAAATATATCCAGTATCCTTTCGCAAGGAAAAAATAGAAAGTGTGATCAAGGATTTTGTTTTGACATGGCTGGAAAACAGGCCATCTCCTTCAACTATCTGGACGTTCTATAAGAAGATGGCCAGAGTCATTGAGGACTTCCACATGGTATCCAGAGGGATCTGTGATGGTGTTCTTAATAATGAAAAGCTGATGGCAAAGCTGGCAAAAGGGAAGTTTGAAGTTCTGTTATCGGACCCAGTATTTCCTTGTGGTGATATCGTAGCTTTAAAGCTGGGAATTCCATTTATCTATTCCTTACGCTTCTCTCCCGCCTCTACAGTGGAAAAGCACTGTGGAAAGGTCCCATTCCCTTCTTCCTATGTTCCTGCAATTTTGTCAGAGCTCACAGACCAGATGTCTTTCACTGACCGAGTAAGAAACTTCATCTCCTACCGGATGCAGGACTACATGTTCGAAACTCTGTGGAAGCCATGGGATTCCTATTATAGTAAAGCTTTAGGTATGTGGCCATTCTAGTTCTATTATTGAAATATAAACATGGCTTCAGTAAGTTCTTCACTGAACGCAAATCTATAATTTCAAGTTTGCGTAGCAGTGCACTTGTATACCCACATGTAAGAAGGAAAGAATGTTTTTAAACAAGCATGGGCTGTAGAATTATGGGACCAATTTACTAATTTTATGGACTTAATGTTTCAACCACTATATGAACAAAGTTTTTGAGAAATAATTTGGTTGCTAAATAAGACTAAATCTTATTTAGAATTTATATGGGATTAAAATTTGCCTAGAAAGTTTAGTCTAGTGTAGGATGCATCTGGAAGAAGTTACATATTTTATAAGCCTTTTGTTGTATAGATTGCCATCTACAAAAATTTTCTTATTATACATAAAGTCTCCAACTAGTGCTTAATAAAGACTAAGATAAAGGTCAAAGACATTTGAAAGCTTTATTTGTTGTATTTCTACACAGCTAACTTAAGTAAAAACGCAAAATGAAATATCTAATTATTTTACTTAATTACTTAAATGCAATATAGTTTTTATTTGGTAATTGCAAATCTAATGTTATAAAACATGTATATTGATTACATAAAGTGTCTATAGTTAGTCTAAAAATCAAATTGTCTTTGCCCTTCTCTCACTTTTTTTCTGAGGTTTGTTATTTATTCTTCACTAACCATGGATTTTTTTTTTAATATTCAACAGGCACTGGCTTAGATTAGAGATTGTCATTGGAATGATGTAAAGCCAGAGGCATTATGTTTATGAGGGGAATAATCTATTAATTATGCAGGAAGATACAGAAATAGGGTAGAGAAGATAGGCTTTGCTTGAATAATCAAAAATGAGTGGCATTCTGAAAAATTTTTAGATTTCACCAGGACACAGTTAAATAGCAAATATTAGTTTCCCTGAAAAGCAATCATTGGACTGGAAACTGTGCCTAAATTGGGAACCAAAATTAGCATAATATATTCTGGCTATTATGTGTGATTTACTATTAGTGTAGATCAATATGAGAAAGGGGGGATACGAGAAAAATGGTAGAGATGACATGGTTGTTAATTCAGTGTGTGTGTGCGTGTGCTTGCATGTGTGTTTGTGTATGCATGTGTGTGTGCACATGTGTGTGTTTGTGTGTGTGTGTATGTGTGAGTGATGGCTTATGTACACATGTGTGACAGTGGGTGCCTGTTCATGCCAGATGTAAGAGGAAGATGTGGGGTTTTCTGTTCTGTCATTCTCTGCCTTATTCCTTTCAAAAATTTATGACTGAACTGAACACTTCTCTAAACAGCAAATTTTCCGCAGTTCTAGGGTTACAGACATATGTGGCCATACTCCTGATTGTTTTCAAATTGGTGCTGGATTCTGAACTCAGATCTTCGCTCTTCTGCACCAAGTGCTCCTTCCTACTGAACCATCTCTCTAGGTCCTCAATATACGTTTTAATAGTCTCTTGTAAGTTATACTAAGTGTTTCAGCTTGCAATTGTTTAGAGGGATTTGTTTTGATAAACAAATATGTTTTATTGAAATGGCTGGACATGCAGAGGTTGCGTTGAGAGCCTTAGGTCTTTACTGGTTCCTCACTGCAGGAGCATTAGCAAGCCATTCTCAACTTTACAATCATAGTTCTCATGATTACTACCTATCATACCTGTGAGATTATTTGTCACTTAGCCTTCCTCAGGATGAAGTTTCAAAATCACAAAGCCCATTGTTCTTTGTTTTTAAGTTAGCTCTGATTATAGAATCACACTATTCTAGAGTCGGGGCAGGAGAGACTAATCTTTCTTAACAGTTTGTTCATGAGAAAACAATGAGGATTTAAACAGATGTTCTTGATATACAGCATTGTGTTGCTAATTGAATTACCCTCTTCTGGCTCAAAATGCCTATATAAGTTTGTTTCTTACCAAGATAGATTAATCTGGTGATCTGAGAGACATGAACACTCATTTTTAAAAGATCAGGTAAGAATAAAAAATACTGACATGCTAGAGTAAGTACCTCATTTTAGTGCAATATGTCATTGATGTAGAATAGTAATAAGAATGATGCCGGCAATGGGTTTGGATCTCCTTCCAAAGGGTCATTGAATTTATGATCTGCTTTTTCCCCCTGTTCTAATGCAAGTTTTGTAATGGACCCAAAGACATTCAGATCTCAAATTGTCACAGCTGAGAAAACAAATAAGCCAAATTTCCCAGAGATTACTTCTCTGTGAAAGAATGTAATGAGAACCACCGAGTGGGTTCTTAATCTCTGGTAATTACTAGGAATTGGATCTTACAATGTCAAAATTATATGTTTTTCCAAATTATGACTATTCCATTAAAACTCATGATCTGTATTGATAGTAGCTAGCAATAGTTAACTTATACTGTTCCAGGATGTGTTAGTGTATATATACATATAATCATATAACTTTGTTATTTCACTTCTGAGAAAGAAAAAAAATATTATTACAGATGAGATTTCAAAATATCAGGTATGTTAAAGTAAAATCATATACTAATAACTTAAATAATGTACAAATAAGTCTCCTGTGCCTTCTTATTTTAGGATTTTGTTCTAATTTTTTTTTTTTTGGTTTTTCGAGACAGGGTTTCTCTGTGGTTTTGGAGCCTGTCCTGGAACTAGCTCTTGTAGACCAGGCTGGTCTCGAACTCACAGAGATCCGCCTGCCTCTGCCTCCCGAGTGCTGGGATTAAAGGCGTGCGCCACCACCGCCCGGCTCTAATTTGTTTTTGATAACTTAATACACTATTACTGCATCTATATTACCTCCCCCTCCCCCTACCTTTCAACTCCTCTTTCTCCCTCTCCTTCGCAGTCGTGATTTCTTTGTCAATTATTATTGTTACATGCATATGCAATATATGTTTTTATATATGTATAAACTTCACTGAGTCCATATAGCATTGCTTATATGTGCAAGTGTCCAGAGCTCAGGACTTGGGGTTTACAAACCAAGGTAGAAGCCTTTTACTAAAAGAGACTGGTTCTCCCTCTTTTGGGAACTGTTAACCACCTGTAGCTATTTATCTAGGGGGTGGGACCATATTGAATTCTCCCCATCTATACTGTCATGGCATCTGATGCCATTATTCTGTTCTTATTTAGGTAATCATATTGGTGAGATTTCATAGATGCACTTTCCCTTTTGTGTCTAGGAACAATGTCTAGCAGCAGGGGTCCTGAATCCCTTGCTCTTACAACCTTCCCACCTCCTCTTCTCTTAGTTTCACTGAGGCTTAGTTGTAAAGTGTATTGCAGTTGTATCAGTTGAGGTTGGACTATCTCAACATAATAAACTCATGGACAACATCATCCTAAATGCTAAAAACACAAAACAAAGCCTACTAAAATCTCTGTTTCTTTTCAATATTGTGCTTGAAGCTCTAGCTAGAACAATAAGACACAGGCAGGAAATTAAAAGACCACAAATAGGAAAAAAGTCAAGTTTTCCCTATTTGCAGATATTATAAGAGATTTCCAAAATTCCATCAGAAAACATAAAATGATCAATAGGTTTAGCATAAAAATATAAGTAGACTTACAAATATAAGTAGCCATATATAGTGTGTAGTACCCACCAATAACAAGAATGCTGAAAAAGAAATCATGGAAGACTATCATTCATAGTAGCTTCAAAAATATATCAAAGAAACTTGACCTAGGAGCTGAAAGAATTCTGCAATGAAAGATGTGAATATCTGAAAGAGATCGAAGAAAACACTAGAAGATGAAAAGATTCCCCATGCTCATGATTCAGTAGAGTTAATATTGTATAAAAGGTCATGCTACCAGGAGCAACTTACAGATTCAATGCAATCCTAATCAAAACCCCCATGACACTCTTCAGAAATAGGAAAAACAAAACTAAATTAAAACTCATATGAAATCACAAAATACCTTGAATAGCAAAAATAATCTTAAGCAAAATGAAATATGCTGAGGGATTACCATACCAGACTTCAGAACTTTTTCATCCAATTTAAATTTAAGACAAAAATTTATCAGTTATTTAACATCGTTTGGTTTGAACATTCCTGGATATTTTCTTTTACTTTTTTGAAAACTTTGTAATTCTGTCTTTTAGCTATTCTTTTCTTTTTCTTTTTCTTTTTTTTTATTGAGAATAAGAAAAAAAAGTTTCCGCCTCCTCCCAGCCTCCCATTTCCCTCCCCCTCCCCCCAATCTTCTCCCCCTCCCCCCTCTCTTCTCCCCCTCCCCCCACTCTTCTCACCCCCCCTCTCCTATCCAAAGAGCAGTCATGGTTCCCTGCCCTGTGGAAAGTCCAAGGTCCTCCCCCCTACGTCCATGTCTAGGAAGGTGAACGTCCAAACTGGCTAGGCTCCCACCAAGCCAGAACATGAAGTAGGATCAAAACCCCTTGTCATTGACCTTGGCTTCTCATCAGTCCTCATTGTTCGCCGTGATCAGAGAGTCCGGTTTTATCCCATGCTGTTTCAGTCACAGTCCAGCTGGCTTTGGTGAGTTCCCAATAGATCAGCCCCACTGTCTCAGTGGGTGGGTGCACCCCCCGTGGTCCTGACATCCTTGCTCGTGTTCTCCCTCCATCTGCTTCTCATTGGGACCTTGGGAGCTCAGTCCAGTGCTCCAGTGTGGGTCTCTATTCTTAATTTGCTGTGTGAAGATTAATTACCCATGTTGTTGCTATGTCATTCAGCATTCCTTAAGGAATATAGCTCTCTGGGGCTCTCTGATCTCTGAGATCTGTTGTCTGGGATATCTTTTCTAGCTCTAAGAGACTGCTGTAAACAGTCTCTAGCCGAAAATAAGAAAAAGGGTCTGCATATTTCAAATATGATTGTTTAAACTTAAAACAGGTAAATTTTATATTTTCTTATGGTATTTTCAAAAACGCTACCAAAATTTTGCAGTATTTTAAAGAGAAAATAATGCAGATACTGTATCACAGTGGAATATATAAAATCCATTATGCATTAATATAAATTTTATGCTTTGACCACTACAAAACAAGTGGGAATTTGAAAGAGCATCTTTTGTATATTTAGGATAATATATTATATACAATTATATAGTATAGTATTATGTATGAAAATTAACTGAGAAATTGAAAATATCAACAAAACTATTTTAACTAAATGCTGTATTCAGATGTTTATTTGAACCAGGTACTCATAGAGACTAACTGATTAATGTAAAAGAAAGATTTGGAAATCGATAAGTAATTTTATCCATCCAAGTACCACTTTCATTATTAAATCAGACAGATTTGATACAAATTCTTCTCTTTCCATTTATGGAAATTTAACTCCATCAGATTATACCTACAAACATCCATAAATAAAATGTACTTACATTATTTTAATTCATAATGTGAAATATTTTGGTAGTATATGAAACTAGGGATCAAAATATATCAGAAGCCTAAGGCAATTCTCATGAAGATAAACTCTGTACCATCCAGGCATAATTTCTAAACAAAGAAATGCATGCTTTTGTTGTTAACTAAATGCAGTATTTCTTTATCACTGCCCAGCAAGGATCATTTGAAACTTAAAAACTGACACCGAAAATTTTCCTGTTTTAAACTCCCAAGTAATTTAGCGGTGCTGCCAATAACACTCTCTACGGACACCCATATGAGATATTTCACACTCTCATCTGGCTTCTGTGATTCAAAATGGAATTAGCGGCACAGTACTACAGCAGTCTCCAAACTGAAGCTGTCTGCTCAGAAATAAAAATCACAGTTCTAACAGTGTATCATTCCCAGGTTTTCTTTCTCCCTCTTTGTGGTCCTTCAGTTACTGAAGAACCTGGAATTTCAAGATTCAAAAGTAACTGATTGTGAAGTAACGTTGTGTGCTAAATGTTCATATTTCGGCCTTGCTTTTTTTATAATCTTGATTATATTATTTGTTGTCATAGTTCTGTTTAATAGCATCGTGATGAGTTTGACATTCCAAACTTATGTAACTGCCTTTGTTGGGTTCAGATTGGTTCAAAATTTCAAGTGGGGACTCTAAACCCATCTCTAAAACTAGATCACTGATTTAATCAATGCACTCTTTAATCTGCTAACATGGGAACTTTTATAGACTGTTAAAATCTTATATAGTGTCATTCCTCTGTGGGAAGCAGCCTTCATGGTAGCTCTACAGAGACTGCTAACTTACAAAGCAATCTAACAAATTAGTTCTGTTGTCATTCACTTACACCAAGAAAAGTGAGGCTGAGAGGTCCAGATCATTCTCCAGCATCTTCAAACCTTCAAAGGATATAATGCTTTTGGTTAGGGCTTACTGTACTTTTGGCTTCCTTTTGTGTAGTCTCCTACACAGAGGTAAAACAGACTCTATTTCAACAGCCTTAAGGAGCTGTGTTTTGAATTGTTTTAAATGTTGCCTTATGGAGAAAATAAAAGCCTGTAACAAGGAGGTGAGAAGGAACTATAAGCAACTCAGATAAAAGGGGCATGCTCTACACAGTGTTTACTAGTGTACCCCACTACGCAATCAATCTAAAATTTCTAAAGTAGTTGTTGGAGGAAATAGCAAATAAGTACACATTTTTTTCAGCTTTCTTTCTTAATGTGAATGATAATGTAGGTTTGGCAGTGAGTCAAATAAAGTTATGAGTATACTCCAAGTTGGATGACTTTGTCATATTAGTTTCAGGACTCAATTAGAGTACCCAATGATGTAAAGGAGATAATGTTTGACATCTAGTCTTGGAGATTCTAAGAAGATAATGTATACAGATAGCTTATAATGAGAACACATGATTTTATGAAGTGGATCTGGCATCACAGAACACACAAACACACATTTCATTTCTTTGCATTACACTTGGACTAGATTTCTTTTCTACCCACACTATAATCATGTTGATACATATTAAGTTCAGTTATGTAAGTTCCTTCTTAACTTATATAACAGTTGATCTATAGGTGGGTGTAACTAGACTATCATATTCAATATTATTTTACCTGAAATATACCTAAATACATTGAACTTTTCTTTTTAATCTTAAAAGACGTGCAGTAGCCAGTTTTCCACAGTGGATGCCATCATGATTAAGAAGTTTTCCCAGCTCTATGTTTTTCATTTGGCTCTGACTGAAGTTGTCCTCAGCGGGAATGTGCTAATTTGGCCTACAGATGGCAGCCATTGGTTAAATATTAAAATCCTCCTTGAAGAATTGATTCAACGAAATCACAGTGTGACTGTATTTGCTACATCAGAATTTTTATTCATCAACTCCAGTCCTGATGACTTTATGCACTTTGAAGAGATTCCAGTTTCCTACAAGAAAAGCAATATAGATGAAATAATTGAACACATGATAGCCCTGTGGCTAGACCACAGGCCAACACCTCTCACCATGTGGACATTCTACAAAGAACTAGGAAAGCTCCTTGAGACTTTCTACCAAGTAAACATTCAGATCTGTGATGGTGTACTAAACAATCCCACACTAATGTCAAGACTTCAGAACCGTGGCTTTGATGTGTTAATAGCTGACCCAGTAACAATTTGTGGAGACCTGGTTGCTCTGAAATTGGGAATTCCGTTTGTGTATACATTGCGCTTCTCTCCAGCCTTTACAGTGGAGAGGCACTGTGGGAAAATCCCAGCACCTATTTCTTACGTACCTGCAGCCCTGTCAGAGCTCACTGACCAGATGTCCTTTGGTGAAAGGGTTAAGAACACTATATCTTATCCTCTGCAGGACTATATATTTCAGTCCTACTGGGGAAGATGGGATTCATACTACAGCAGAGTTCTAGGTGAGTCTCAACATCTGTGTCATGATGACCCCAGGTGCCTTCGTTCTTTCTCATTCAGCTAAAGTTATCCACCTGCTAGATGAGCCACATTTGAGTGAATGTACAAGGTATATCTCTACAAGTATTTAAATACTTCAAAGAATTTTGTAGTGATATTGATTTGTATTCAGTTTTCATCCACTGGAAAGAAAATATTCTCATTTAGTCAGTAGCTTTACAATGTTCATATAAGCATTCAAATATCAATACATTTCTCTTTAGTAAAGTAAATTATGACATATGCACACAAACAAAATGGAAAATATTGTGATAACATATAATCTCTCCATTCTTCAGTCTTTCTTTATCTGCAAAAAATACATTAGAAAACAAAAAGTCTATCATTGGAAAACCCACGTTATATTCTAGCCTGCTGTTTGCTATTTGCCCTAAACATCTCAGGAGGGCTAGCCATCTCTACTCACGTGCATCTCTATCTCCCGTGTGTCTAAAGCCTTTTGGCCTTAAAGTTTCCTTATGAAAATCAATCAGATAAAATAATGTCAACTTAGAAAGCCAGTTCTAGATGGTTGTTTATATTACTCTCTTCCTGATGTTCATGAGATTACCTTTCACATTGTCTTTCTTTCCTGATGGCTTTTCTCCAGATTTGTTAGTACTCGGGGGGATTAATTAGTTCAAAGATTAATACTGAATGTTGCCAGTGGCATTTTATTTCAGAATTTAGGTGTAAAACATTATCCTCTTACACACTTTTTGCTCTTTTCTACCTCTCTCTATTCTTTTCTTTCTTTCTTACCTCTTGTTTCATTTGCATAAAGTAATATTAACTGAGCATAAAATAAGTACCTAATAATTTCCTACATATAAAAAATATAATAAGTTTCCATCTTACATTCAAAATTACATTATATGTAATATTATATACAAATAAGCATTTAAGGCTGAACATACTTTGGACTATACTCTTCATTAACTCTTCAATGTCAGAGCCATAATTACATTTCCATGAAGATCAGTACCTTAAATTAATTAATACATATCTGCAAAAGAAGGGGTAGCACCATAGATTTGTATGTAAAGTATGTGCTTTGCAAGCATGAGGACTTGAGTTCAATACCCAGAATATATATTTAAAACAAACAACAATGATGACAAACAAACAAAACCAGCAATTCATAGTTGTGCAAACTTGCAATACCAGTTCCTGGAGTACTGCTAGTCACTCACCCTAGTTCATTTAGCAAGTTATTTGGAGACACCATACCACCACTGACATCAAAAAGTAAATAGCTCCTGAAAAATGACATCTGAGGTTGACTTCATGTATATGTACACAGACAGACATAGATAGAGCAGTACATGACTTCACATGTACATACAGAGAGGTGAGCAGAGGCAATGGTGACCTCATATGCACATACATAGAGAGGCAAGCAGAGATAATGGGGCTTTATATGTACATACACAGAGATACATAGAGAAGTAAAGAATGACTACAAGGAAAAGCATCATTTAGACATTATAAGACACCTACCTACACTTATGAGCTCACTGTAGCAACAAGAGGGACAGAGCCTGTGCTAGCCAAAGCTGTACCAAATCTGAGTTGCTGACAGGAGCTAGTCATGAAATCCTAGCCATAATCCGGAGCTATTGGCAATTGCTGGCTTATAGAATAGGGAGTTTTCTCTGAGAGTGTAATAACTCTACAAGTCCCACTGGAAGACAATGCGTTTAAGCATCTTAAGTTAACACAAATTTATTTTGAAGGATTTAAAAAACAAAACAGGACAAAAAGTTGGGTGGAAAGATTTGGGTAAAGGGTAAAAATGATCAAGGCAGATTACATGAAACTCTCAAAGAACACACACACAGACACACACTACTAAGTGGGTGCAGTTTTTAGTGGATCCCCGGAAGATTAATGTGAATTTTTATATCTCTAGATGTAGTAAACTGATAAGTTCTAGTCTTTGTTGAGTAACTGAATGTTTTAGCCACAAACCATATGGAGTTAGTTGAAAATATTTCTAAAACTACTCTTGCCCTGTGTGGGAAGAGTAAAATTTAAAAATAAGAAAATTGCAAAGCATGTGACCTTTGGTATGCCCTTAGTCTTTCCTCTTAAAGTAAGTCATAAAAATAGTACGACGCCCATGACAGCCTTTGTAAATAGAAATTTCCCAGCTTCTTACTTTATCTGATAACGATCTAGATTTACAAATCCGACCATTTGAGAAATTTTTTGCTAAGTACTTAAGTCCATTGTTTTCCTCAAGTTACCAAACTTCTTATTCTACTTTCTTCTGCGTGTACCTGTGCCATGGTGTGCAGATGGAGGTTGTAAATCAACAGTTTGTGTAGGGCATCTGCCCCTCTGCCAAGCAAGTCCTGGTGATTGAATTCTTGTCCTGTTGCTTGGTGGCAAGTACCTTTGCCCACTGAGCCATATCACTAAACATCTCTGAACAGGAAATATTTCAGTAGGAGTACAATGCCCAAAACTGGTACTATGTAATGATTTACCTTAGCAATTATGTAATTTTACAGTGTTATCAATACCCAGTGTGAATAAGCTGATAGTGAAAGAAAAAAACTGCATTATTTTTATATTATTATTCTGAACATAAGAGATTTCATAAAGTATTCAGTTCTTACAGTTTCCATTGTAATGTAATTCTTCTATTCCTTAGGGGAAAAGTGGAGTAGAAAAGTTGGACTGTGGTTAGAGACTGCACATATGTTTTCAGGAGAGAGTTGAGCACAAGGACATAGCCTAGTGAACTCATTCATGAGCCTATATCGTGTGTCAGTGGGATTGTAGATCGTAAGGATGAAGTGGTTAGTCACTTTATGCACCCAACAGCCAAGGGAGCAGGGGTGTCAGGAGTGTGACAAACACGATTGTGCATTTCCAGGAATGCGTGTAGCAATTCTTCTTCCTTATGCTGACCTTTGCTCCTTGTCTCCCAGAGTGACTGCTCTCCCCTCTGCATACATTTTAGTCATGATGATTCTGTGCTTTGACATAGCCAGGAGCCTGTCACCCCAGAAATAATGTCACTTCCTGAAATCAGAATTTATTCTCCCGAAGTTAACTAACTAAACTTATTAACTTCATATATTACTTAGCAGATAAATTTTGTCATGGCAACGGATTGTATCACAAAGCATGAGTTTAAAGAAGGGAAGGTTTTTACTTTCACAAGAAATCTAGTCATCTTTAAATTTTATTATCAAATTATTTATCTTGTTCTTAAATCACATCTTTAATTTCTTTGTGCATTGTTTCTTCATTTTTTAGACTGGTAATTAGTTTATTCATATAGGTTCTGTTAATGAATCATTAGATATGTTGATTAGTTTAAAACTACTTCCACAAATGAAAATAATAACAAAGGAGCTGATGAGATTAGTCAGTGATGGGATAGCTTTACGAGTATGAGGGTTTGATACTGATCCTCCAATCCACACTCCTAATATCGTAGCACTAGAGGTAGAGACAGTTGGATCCATGGAGTTTGTTAGGACACAAAAACAATTTAAATGTCTGCTGGTAAATCATAGGCATATATAATTATGGATTATGTCTCAGGTAGTATATCAACAACACATAAAAGGGAAATTCTGCTATTGTAACTCATCGAGAGATATTGGTACATGTTGTAGTTTGTGCAATGGATTTCACACACATGGATAAAATTATATAATACCATGTATAGTTAAATATAACTTAGTCAAAATTACAGAGGAATAATGAGAAGTAATGATTTCTAGGAGCTAGAAATGCTAGGAATTGGAAGGTAACAGGTTAGGGTCCAAAGGACCAATTACAAAATGAGTGAGTCTTTGATATATATATACACCACAAAGTCAGTTGACTGTAATGCATTGTACACCATAACATTTTGTTAAGGACACATATCTTTAAGTTTCCTTTCATACAGGCAATGATAATATTCTTCAAATAATAGTAAAGGCATGAGGAAACTCTCTGAAGTCATGGATATATTCTGTCTCAGATTGCTATGATGGCTGCATGGCTTCAAACCAATCAAACTGAACATGCATAGGAATCTTATTATTTATAAAATGTTTCACAAAAATAATTGTTAAAGCTTAAAGATAGTTTTATCAAATGTGTTGTAAACAAACATGAGATAAAATAGTAATGTTTGATATACCTTCTTTAAGCCTAGTGACATTGGTTTATGAAGTAAAAAACAAGCCTCATTACTTATAACTCTTTTAGATAAAAGTATGCAGAGAAGCACATTTATTTAGTGCTGTCTTTGTGAATGATTCTGTTCACTGTTTTGATATTTGGAAATTTTATGATAAATGTACCCTAGTCAGAAAATATGGATTTTACAGCCCTATTTGTCCACAAAAATTGAAGGAGTAAATATGTATCACCTTGTGGTGATATAGGTTTCTCACTATTGAAGAAAATGTTTAGACATAAGGGGAGGATAAATATATTTACATGTGCACTCAATCCTTGCCTTGTCCTGCAAAAATGCCTAAACACCATAAGAAATGAAAACGGGCAGTATGAATACCTGTCTTTTAGATTCTGTCTCCCAATAAAGTGAAACCCTAGTCTATGAAGAAAATATTGATTTTAAGTTTAAACTCTGAAAGTAAAAGGTGAGCCTGAACTATTTTCTGAAATTTAGCAATGAGGAAAACAATATCATACAAAGGAGAAACCAATGTAAAAAAAGAAAAAAATTCAAATATAACTTAAATAATTGTAATACTTGAATAGAATATAAAATGAAATAAATCAATAGAAATATACACAAATTGAAGAAGCTAGCTCCCACTAAATTCCAATTCATAAATATAATAACAATAAGAAAATAAATTTATGCTTATTTATTTGATGTGAAACTGTATAACTAGCATTTGGAGATTAGCCAACTCATACTAATATTAACCAATAGGCATATATATTTAAATGGACTAATTTCGTGAGTAAAGGGTTTATAGGTGCTATACATAAACAGTAACTGACAGATTTCTTTTTTGTGTGTATTTATAAGTCTGGAAGTTAATGTTTGACTTGCTTCATACTTAAATTGCCACTTCAATTGAATAGACACCCACCCTCTGCAGAGCAGGGTGAGGAGACACAGCAGTGACTTTTCAGAAATGAACCGTGACAGTTTTGTTGTTTTGGGTCTGCTGTGGCTCCGCTAGCTGTCCTTCTGCTGTGGCTCTGGTGTGGCTCTGCTGTGCTTTTGCTGTGGTCTGTTGTGTTTCTACAGTGGCTCTTCTGTGGCTCAGCTACACTTCTGCCCTGGCTATGCAGATTACAGTTTCTTTGACAAGGCCATGGAGTGCATCGAGGATATGAACCATTGACACAACCTGAAGCCTCTTCTCAATGAGCTCACAGAGAAAAGACAGAGGTGACAGTTCTGACTTACCAGACTATTCTCCCAGATCACAATACACCAAGCATTCTGCCCTGGACTTCGAAAGAATCCCTGTGCCCTGTGAGAGCGAGATCACTGAACAATCACTATGTGGGCTTACAGATCTAGCTTGAATGCAATGCCAGTTTTGCCACTTTGCAAGCAGCAGGACAACTGCAACATATCTTTCTTCCAGCAACTGGGAAGTGTGAAGTTCTCACCAGACTGCTCTGTCATATAATAGATGTTATTATATAATAGAAGTTATTAAAATACATACAGCTACAAGTGAATATCAATTGAATAGAAAATGCCTTTGATCACAGTTTTTAGTTCTCTATTTTGTCAATTTCATATATTGTGATTATTGAATTTTATGTGGTAAACTTTTTTATGTATCTGGATAAATAGAACTTAGCACAGTTTATGACTTTTATAAATTTATTTCTCTTATTTTTATGACTAATATATTATTATATCATTTTCACACTTTGCCTCTTCTCTTAAATCCCTTCCACATTTGCCCTCCTAATCTCTTTCAAGACCATCACCTGTTTTTCCTTAATTATAGCATACACATGTGTATATGCTTGTGCCTGTTGTATTTCTAAATACATAAATAGTCTGCTTGATTTGTATAATGTTACTTGAATATGTGTTCAGGCTGACAACTTGGTAAGCCAATGGAATCCTCCTGTCTGGCAAAGACTATTTCTGCTCATTTCAGCATTACTGACAGTTCTTTGTGTGTGGTTGAGGCCTCCAAGTCTTTCCCCTATCCACTTAGGCATGTTTATGGTTGTTGTCCTTGTTCAGGTCCTGTGTGAGTACCTTTGTTGATCAGACTTACAGATATTACCAGACTTCTGATATTACCAGGAACTGCGATTTCACAGCAAATTCCCTCATCCTTTGGCTCATACAATCTTTCTACACTCTTAGTACCTTAAAAGTATAATTACTAAATTATTTACTGACAAGCATAAATATTTAATCAAATTTTCTTTTAATTTTTATGGGCTTTATATGTATGAACATGAATCACTGCTTGGGTGTGTATGGGTACATGTGTGCATGTCTATGATGCTATGTGAGGATGTGTGTGAAGGCTGGAGGGCATTGACCGTTCTCTCTTAAGGCTCTCACCTTAATTGTTAAGATAGATTTTCACTGGGGTTCAATTCTGATTTGGCTAGTCTAGGTATAAAATGAGTTCTAGATATTCATTTCTCCGTAAATCCACAGAACTGAGATTATGGGCATGGGCTACTGACAGCTATTTATTGAACGCTAAGAATATAAGCCCAGAGAATCTTGCTGTGGGACAAATATGTTACCACCTGTGTCATCTCCAAGATCCATGGATGGCTGCTTTCACATAGATTTCTGCAACTATTGTAATTGTTATATCAATCATTTAAAATTCTCCTCATGAAATTGTCTTAAAGGCTAGAAGTACTCATAACGTGAAGCAAGCAAGGGATATAAACGCTCCGATGGTGGAGATGTGAGATGGTTTTAATGCACTGCCTGGAAACTCCAAGCTCAGTATCCTTGAGCAGTGATTATTTGCTACATAACTATATGATTAGGCTGTGTGAGTCCATGCGTGTTTCAAACCAATGCTAAATCCTGACCATTGAAAGTAATATCTACCCTGTTTATGTAAAAAGATTTTCATCTTGTATTTCTTTTCTCACTTGCAGTACATGTTTCCTTTTTAGGTAATATTAGTATTTTTTAATATATATTTCTTCTCTAAACATCTCTTGAAAGTAGTATGTAATATTATTCTAGGTGCATTATTTATTTATTTATTTGTTTATTTATTTATTCATTCATTCATTTTTCAAAACAGAGTTTCTCTGTAGCTTTGGAACCTGACCTGGAACTTGCTCTTGTAGACAAGGCTATCCTCTAACTCACAGAGATCCACCTACCTCTGCCTCTGCCTCCTGAGTGCTGGGATTAAAGGCCTGCACCACCACTTTTTGGCCCATTATTTTTTTCTTGATGGTAAGTGTTAAGAGAGATATTGGCAATCCTTATATTTCTATCTCATATCTCCAAGTTTATTGTATTGAAAGAATTAATTCAGATTTCCTGCTTAAGAGAATGGTGATAAATCATTTGCAGAATGGTACTCACCTAACATAATGCTGAAAGCGAGACTATGATCCTGTGCATAATAGAAATTTTTTTCCTAGCTAGAGACTGTAGAACAACTGAAAAGTGGCAAACAGTTCAGAGGATGCAAATAATCTCTCTCCTGCTGCTTACAAGAGAAAATGGGTCTTTGTGGAATTCATTCGTAGTTGTAACTACACTTACATTTTTATTGCCTTATCGTCTGGAGATGGTATTTGCATATTGCCTTTCTTTCCCTATTCCTTGTTTGGCTCTTTTTCATACTCTCCTTCTCCTTTAAAATATTGCCAAGATAAGCATCCCAGAAGACCCAAGTTTTCTTCCCAATAGCTGGTAAGGAAATGTAGGATGCATTTTTACTTGGTAAACTTGAGTGCAAATTTCCTCCATGCAATATTATGTATTCTCTCCAGGAAGACCCACCACATTATGTGAGACTATGGGGAAAGCTGAGATTTGGCTGATGCGAACATATTGGGACTTTGAATTCCCTCGTCCATATTTACCTAATTTTGAGTTTGTGGGAGGACTGCACTGCAAACCTGCCAAGCCATTACCTAAGGTAGGTCTATGAAGGGTAAGACCTTAGGAGCTGCATGACATGATTGTTGATTTTCCCTCTGAAGTTAACAGCTTTAATAGCAGAGATGCATTTCTGAGTATCTCTATTCTGTTAGGAGAACTTATTGCTCTCATCACAGTTGCTCTGTTTGAACTATATTGGGTCATATGGACTTGAGAATTTAAGCTTAGATTTGATCTGGAGGAGAAGTGGTGGGGAGCTGGGAAGAGTGAAGGGAAGAGAAACTGTGATAGGGATGTATTGTATGAGAGAAGAATAGATTTTCAACAAAAATTTAAAAAGAAACTCTTTTAGAGAGCAGGGGCCCTTGTTGTCCCAGCCACCCAGCTACCTTAACCCCTGAAATAATCACAGAAACTATTAATTTAAACACTGCCTGACCCATTATCTCTATCCTGTTATTAGCTAACTCTCATATCTTGATTTAACCCATTTCTATTAAATTTGTGTTCAGCACAAGGTTGTGGCTTACTGGGACAGATTCGGCATGTCTGATTCTGGCAGCTCCATGGAGGTTCTCCCTCTCTGGTTTCTTCCTCCCAGAATTCAGTTCTGTCTTCCCTGTCTACCTAAGCTCTGCCCTATCAAAAGGCCAAGGCAGTTTCTTTATTCAACCAATGAAAGAAACACATAAACAGAATGACCTCCTACACCAAGAAACAAACCAAAAAAAGAAAATAATAAAAGATGCATTAAAATGTCTGTGTTTCTATAGTATGGATACTGCAGTGGGGAATGGAAAAGTCTAACTATGGGTGGATCGCCATGTGACTGCTAAAGTCTTCCTCATGTGCCAGACAGAGCTGTAAACAGGGAAACCTTCACCAACAGTTTGTTAGAGAAACAGTTCATAGAAAGTCCTGATGAATTGTTTAGGACTTGATGAGTAAGGGAAGGCACGTGTGAAGAGTCTTCATAATCAAGCAGGGCCTCATACCTTAGTCCTGCGGCTTTAATAGAAAAGGTGGTGGCCTGTAGTGTCATTGCTTCTGACATGTGTAGTAATGGCAGGTATGGAATGTCCAGGAACTGGTGATGGTGATGAAATGGTTTAGGTTTTAGCATAATCTCCTTAAGAAGAGAAAGGGATATTTTAGGTGATTGTTAGAGAACATTTGGTTTGATCAACCAATAACATTTGATGCATATTGAGAATCATCTTCATGAAGTAAAAATAGGAAAATGGATAGACAGATTCAAATATTATAACACTTATATAATCATTGCATTAGGATTATTTGGGTTTATCAGGCATGATAATAATTCTAAAGCCTGGCTTTCTGGACTTAATTATGCCCATTCAAGTAAACAAACCTTGTATTTTCTTTCAGTTAAACTTTGTGAATTACATGTCAACTTAAAAAGAGAGAAGCTGCCCCCATTTTCTGGTCCCTTTTACGGTGATTTGGAGTCCCATTGGTCCTTGTGTATACTTTATGAATTTTTTTCAGAAACATTTCCTGATACAGTTACTATTGATTTTACATGATATGATTTTACATGATACAGTTACTATTGATTTTACATGATATGAAACTTTCTTTGACCTTGAGTTCCATGTTTTGTACATAGAACTGTAAATGAACAAAATCTCACCTAATGAATCTACACAATTTCAATATGATATTATGTTTGCAGGAAATGGAAGAATTTGTCCAGAGCTCGGGGGAACATGGTATTGTTGTGTTTTCCCTGGGGTCGATGGTGAAAAACCTGACAGATGAAAAGGCCAGTCTCATTGCCTCAGCCCTGGCCCAGATTCCTCAGAAGGTCAGTACAACCCCAGATCGTGGAGACCAGAACTTCTTTGGACTGATGGGAGAGTGCAGCAGGTAGTGGTGTTTTCTGGAAATCTGAAGCTGAAATCTGTAGGCCACTAATCACAACTAGTGCCTGCTTTCAATATTACGGAAAGAACATATAAATGATGTTGTATGTGTTCATTTGCCTTCTTATACAGTTATTATGAAAATATAGACTTCTATGGTCATTTTCTATATAGGATAGAGAAGAATACATTAGGCCACTTCTACAGGGAAACATTTGAAGGACCCAAATTTAGCAAGTTACATGGCAGTTTCAAATTCAAACTGCTACAATAAATTTACTGGGCATTCTCAATACTTGAACATGGAACATGTGTGCACAGAGAGTGAAGTAAGCATTGCACTTTATAAGCACTGTATCCTAAGTGGAAAATGCAATGTCTATAATAAAAGAGGTGGAAAATGGAATGTCTAATAAAAATATTTAAATTGGCAAAAAAAATAAAATAAAATATAACTATTTTAATAATTAATGGAAATCAGTTAACCTTCATATTTATCATTTTCATTCTTCAACTCAAGTCTCTACTCAGTCATATTCATGTAAGAATCTATAATCAGTCATGTACTGATTACTGTTCATATGATTGTATAAGAATCTTAAAATTCTATCTTTTATGCCCACACTTGTTTCTTTCTCTTTCTTGTTTAGAAATTAAAAACCTGCCTCATTATTCCAAAACTAAGTTTTTAAAAAGTGACATGTCGACATGCCATCTCACTCAAAAAAAAAAAAAAGAGAAACAAAAAATGGAAGAATGGTATAAGCATTGAGATAGACATAAAATGGTAATAGAGTAAGATAGGGAAATGGAAGAAGAAGAAAGAAAGGAAAATAAGAAAAGGAGGAGGAAGAAACAAAAGCTGACAGTAAACAAACACTGGCCTCCAAATGAGAAGCTAAAGTCACTCACCAGGGAGCATTTGTTTTAATAATTTGCACTCCAATATTCTGACTTGCTAAAATATATCTATTTGTGTTCTCATTTATTTCTAATGATATTTCAGTAATAAATTTCAAAATACTAATCTATGCTTAATAGACCAGAAGTAGAAGCCATTAGTTGTTCATTGTCCTACTCTATCTCAGTGTTTGCGAATGTCCACATCAGTAACCCCCTTCTCAAACACCACCTAAAGTATGTACACTTGTTCCCAATAACTCACTGCCTTAGCACACCTTCAATGTGTGTCTTTACCTATATCATCACAGCATTGTCTTCCACAGGTTTTGTGGCGATACAAAGGAAAGATACCAGCAACTTTAGGATCCAATACGAGGCTGTTTGATTGGATTCCCCAAAATGACCTTCTTGGTGAGACTCTGGGGCCAGAAAAATCCCTATAGTTAAAAAAAAATATTAAGCAATTTCTTAGCTTTGAGTAAGTTGACAACATCCAATAATTTTAAATTTTTACATATTACTTCAAGTTTTCCTTTGGTGGTAGTACTGGGTATTGACCCTAGGGTAGCATCATGCAAATCAAACACTCCACTGTTGAGCACAATACACTTCACATCCAGATTTATGGTGAATGTCAATTGTACAGGTCCACAGAGTACCCATGCCTTAAATAATATCTTAAAAATCTCATTGGTTTTCAAGTTTCCATCAGATGTGAGATGTTACCACTTCATTAATACCTTCCCAGACAATGAAGAAGAGTTAATTTCCCCTTTCTCTGGGAGTGTAATTTCCTGGTGTAGCAATGTCTCCTATGCTCAACATTTATAGAAAATGCTGCCTTGTAGTGTAACTCTTCATCCCTTCTACTTCTGAACTTTTGCTAACTAATTAGCCTGAAACCTATACTCACTCCTGTCCTCAAAACAGGACATCCCAAAACCAGAGCTTTTATCACTCATGGTGGAACAAATGGGATCTATGAGGCCATTTACCACGGGATCCCTATGGTGGGAGTTCCCATGTTCGCTGATCAGCCTGACAACATTGCTCACATGAAGGCCAAAGGATCAGCTGTGGAGGTGAACATGAACACAATGTCAAGTGCAGATTTTCTCAACGCTGTGAGGACAGTCATTAATGACCCATCGTAAGTGTTGAACTGTGTAAAGCCCTGTCTGTAATGTCTGATGGATGGACTGTCCATCATTTTGGAATGTATCTACAAATTACACATTTTGAATTTACTGTAGTGTAAAGTAACCAGGGACAATGTAAACACTGCTTGTTTCATTTTCAACTACTGAGGTTATACCATAAAATTTGAAAATAAATCTACTTTAAAAATTCAGTCAATATACCTTCCAAAATATAATAATACTAGCATGTATTCTCATGTAGTTTTTATTTTATAGAACTATAAATAAGAAGTTAAGCATTATTAACCATTCAGTATCTACAAAATGGAAAAGGTAATGTGTTCAACATTAGCCATGCATACATAACTATTAACATGGTGTTATCTAACATTAATGCCAACATTTAATTCTGAGTATTCTATATTTGCATAAACAGTATTAAAACTCTCAATTCAGGAACTGATCAGCAGTTTAGAAATATCAGTAATTCTTGGAATGAGCTATTGTGTTTCATAAATGTTGACCTTTCACTCTATTCAACCTCACTATTACAAATATTTTAATTGCTGCTTTCTTGGTTCATTTTATTAAAAATTACAGTAGAAAAGTTTATGATTCATTTCAGCTCAACTCCACAGAATGTTCACTAGATTTTTTGCTAACCACATTACTTTCCTCATTTCCATGAATGGACTCTGAAGCTTTACCCTATGATCAAACCTAAGTGAAATTTATTAATTCTCCACTAGTTATTGAGAAACTTCAAGGGAAAGCATAGGTTATGTTACAGATAATAAGTTCTGTACTTGATATGGTTTGGTTTTGGTTTTGTTTATTGTTTTGAGATAGTGTCCCTGACTGACCTGCTTGACTTGGATCCTGTTTGAGAAAAGGTCAAACTGTTAGGTACTGTGTGTAAAAACTTAAATCTATTAGCTAAACACATGTCACATAATCACTTCTAAAAAATTTAAACACAAAACAAATGTCTGTTTGTCTATTTTTTTCAAGTTATAAAGAAAATGCCATGAGACTCTCAAGAATCCACCACGACCAGCCAGTGAAGCCCCTGGACAGAGCTGTCTTCTGGATCGAGTTTGTCATGCGCCACAAGGGAGCCAAGCACCTTCGTGTGGCAGCGCATGACCTTAGTTGGTTTCAGTACCACTCACTGGATGTGATTGCTTTCCTGCTGGCTTGTGTGGCATCGGCTATATTCTTGGTTGCAAAATGTTGTTTGTTTGTATTTCAAAAGTTTGCTAAGACAAGAAAGAAGACAAAAAGAGACTAGATCAAGGAAAAGACAATAAAGGTCTCTGGGTTTGGTAAAAAACCAAGTGGAGTAGTACTAGTACTTAGAGGCAGATGGAGCTGTCAGACACCTATCTTCATCTCATTGCCAAACATCACATTGCTAAGCTAGCCAGCAGATAGATTAATTCTAGGATGCAACATAATTACATTCTCCTGAAACTGCTTCATCTTTCCTTTGTTATTTTAGTGACACTCCTACCATTTTCTTATCTTCCTGGCACACGGGCACTATTGATTTAAATAAGTTCTTTTCAGGATGTCATTTAAAATATAAAGCAGATGATAAATAATAGCATTCTGAAATCATGGGAAGGAACACAGAGCATTTTGAATTTTATTTAATTATCACACAAGGATCACAAACACAAGTCCTCATGGAACACACCAATGGAGCGCTGACCACAGGGATTAGTGTATCCTGAGAAGACTCATCATTTTATTTAGAAATAGAAGCCAACTCTTGTGATTTTCGGATGTCACTAGTATTAGAGGATGAAGTCAGAACTGTGACAACATATTACCATAGGAAAACTATATATAAAAATTGTTAGTACCTTTAAACATGATGTTCTATTTTTCTGCTTTTTCCTAAAATATATAAAAATCATATTGTTCACAATCTATAATCACTATTTACAATGAGATATTTCATTTTCTGAAAAAATAAATACTTATATTGAGATCACTGTGTTCTTCCTACTCTCCGTTTTCTGTAAATTTAAACTCATAATTTTTGGCTGTAATAATAAAATTTATTAATTACCAGATTTACTGAGAATGTGACAAATGTCTAAATTAAGAAACTTATATTGATGTAGAAGAGACTTGAAGTAGTAGAATTGATGCTCAAATAGATTTACTAATAGATTTGCTTAGAAAGTACTAAATAACACATAATTCAATTTAGCTAAAGGAGCACTGTCTCTAAAATGCCCCCAAAGATAAGTAGTATGCTAACCAGGCAGCTTAGAGACCAGCAATATTTAGGATGCTGCTAATACTTGTTCATCATGACTGACCTCTAATTAAGCTCCTTTCCCATTACAATGGAGACAACCCCAATTTACAACCAGAATTAGGTCCACCCTTCTATCTAACTGCCACTCAAAGGAGCAGCTAATATTGGCAGGACAGTGTCATAACCACCAATAAGTCCAGGTCTGTTGACAGAGGTATCTGTCCCACTCAGTCCGGCAGCCATTCAGTCCAAAAGTTACACAGAAGCCTATATTAATTATAAACTTATTGGCCAATTACCCCAGTGTTCCTCACTCTTATAACTTACATTAAACCATAATTCTTGTCTGTGTTAGCCACTTATCTTGGTATCCTTATCAATGAGGCATTCTCATCTTGTTTCCTCTGTGTTTGGATGACAACTGCAGATTGAGTCTTTCCTCTTCCGAAAATTGTCCTGTTCTGGTCATCCTGCTTATACTCCCTTGCCTGGTGACTATCCAATCACCTAGTTTTTATTAAACCAACAATACTGGCAAATCTTTACAAGGTACAAGACCATTGTCCCACAGCACTTCCCTTATTTTTTCTTTCAAAACAAAAACTTTGAATCTAATCTCCTTTGTTTAGCTTTCTTCCTGATTATTATCCATAACAACTTGTAACCAACTCCATAAACAAAGAATAATATCCATAATACATTTTCTGGAATGTGGGAATAATTTTCAAGGTTACTTCCTGCTGATTAGTGATAGTCTTATAGGGACCTAAAGAAAATTTAGGATTATGGTCAAGTCCTGACTGGAATATTCTGCAAGGTTTGGCCATCTCAGCCAACAGTTTTGAGGCTGTCCTGTATTTAGAACTCATAGGAAAGTCCAACAGAGGTCCTCTGAAATGTTGCATCCTCTAGGCCATCTGCTTCTCTCAGAGATTTTTTTCAGGTGGTCTTCCTTGATTAAACCTAATTTTTCTTAACCCAGAATGAAACCACAGCCTCTTTTTTTCCTGTGGAAACAAAAGCAAAACCTCTTCTCCAAAGTAGCATATTTTTGACTTAAATTTTGAAGTCAGAGCCCTTTCAAAATATATATGTTATATTAATCCAGAAGCATTTGCAATCAAATGTCTTTTAGCAGCTGTTGTTTCTTCCTCAGCCATCAAACCATTCAAAGACAACGCAATAACTTACAGTATCCCAATTCTCTGTGTATTTCACATTTTTATGTGGCTTTATTTTAAACTGTATTTCTTTTATTTTTAATTTTAACTTTTTTGATAACAAGCTTTCTTTGTGTATCTTTGGCTGTCCTGCTACTCACTTTCTAGATGAGGATGTCATTGAACAAACAGAGATCTGCCTCCCTCTGCCTCCCAAGTACTGGGATGAAAGGTGTGTGCCACCACAACCAACTACTTTCTTTCTCCTCTTTTTTTTTTAAAGGACTTTGTCCTTTTACATTTCTCTCCCAAAACAACATATATTTTTAAACACCCTGTAAACTGTTTAGAGGTTTTCTTCTTCTGAGTTTACCTTTATTGTATATCTCTTTTTCTGACCACATGAGTCTTTAATTTGCTAAGCATTATGGTTAGAATTAAAGCCATGGCTTTGACAGCTGGATCCATCCAATTGATTAGCTTTCTGAGAGTCTAGCTTCATGGTGGGGGTACTAGTGGGAAACTTGTTTATTACCACTACTCTATGGAGTTTTAAGGTCTCTGCCAGCAGCAACAAGTGTGCTATTAGCTATTCATAAACACCATTTAACTGCTTTGTGGCACAGCTTCTTAAAGGGCTGCAAGGTTTTTTGCAGCTAAAGCTGAGTCAGGAATCCTCTCTTAAATGAGAAGTGCTTGCCTTTCTCAAACAGAGCCCACCTGAGAAGATGCTGCTACCAAGGAGCCACACTTGCCTTTGTTGTTTTGTGTTTAGAATTACTTTAAACTCCTTCAGGTTTTATGTGGATGTAGTTATCTACATTAGCAGAGGTTTCTGTCCTGCCCAGTCCTGCAGCCGTTCAGTCCCAAATTAATTATTAACTGATTGACTCTTATATTAACCTATAATTCTTGTCTGTGTTAGCCATGTGGCTTGATACCTTTTAACAGCAAGGCATTCTCATCTTGCTTTCTCTGTGTGTGGGTGACACATGCAAACTGAGCCTTTCATCTTCCCAGAATTCCCCTGTTCTGGCCACACTGCCTATATTTCCTGCCTGTCTACTGGACAATCAGCATTTTATTAAATCAATAAAACTGACTAATCTTTATAGGGTACAAGACCATTGCCCACAGCACAGGTCTGTTGTTGAGTCCCCTGTACTCTCAGCACAGTTCTGCCAGATGGACAGGATAATCCTGGGTAAGAGCTATTAAAAATAACTACAGTGGTGTACTTGAGAAAATATTCACATAGTATCTTTAGACTTGTAGTCTTTTGTCTCTGTTCAAATTTTTAAAAGCATAGCCCAAGATCAGGAACTGAAAAAAATTTTTAAATTGAAGGTGTTAATGGATTGTAAAACCCTAAGCTATATGTAAGTTAGTAATTTTTTTCATATCTGTCTCCTTTATGAGCAATAGTCTGAGCTGGACACATACTACTATTAATAAGCTTTTCCCATTTACTAATCTCTTAGAGTGATTTCTCACTTGGAGATCTCATCAATATTAATTCTAGAACATTCTAGCATGTTGAAGCTCTAGTTTTGATGTCCAGCAATGTAAATGTTGACTGAGAGAAATGTCATTGTAAAATGACTTAGAACATTTTAAAGATTATATTTCTTAACTAATAAAACCCAAAATTAGGAAAAGAGTTCCAAGAGCAGACTTACCACACTTTAATGAAAAGATATAAAAAATAATAAAAAAAGATAAGGGGGAGGATGTATAAACAACTCCATCAATAAGAACAAAGGTTGATAGTCCAAATTTTGTAATATTTTTGAACAAGAGTTTAGTTACCTTCATTATTTTATCAATTTTATTAGGTTATACATTTACCCTACCAAAGTGTATCCACAAACAATAGCTAAATCTTAAAATTACTTCCTTTTTTAGTCATCTGAATGGATTTTATTTCTTAGTCTGCAAATAAAAATTCCTTATAGTTTGCTCCTTTTGTCAGGTGTTGTGTTTAGTATGGGGTATATTTTTAGCAAATAGTACATTGTTTAATCTGTTTAACAATCTTGTGTGCTCAAGTAGATTTTTAGTGGATATATTAGTGAATTTTTACCACAATGTATATCCTCATGTGGATGCTTTAGAATTGGATTTTCCAGAACTTCTGGAACTTATTAACTGGGTATTTTTGTATTCTTGGACTCACAAAGATTTGAAGAAAAAAAAAAAAAAACAAGATTGACCATGAACAACATGAGTTCAAAGGCCACAAGTAATGATCTGGGCTCAGTAGCTACTCCTATGAATTGAGTCTGAATTGTTCCACAAGTAAAGACATCATAGTAGAAGTTTGAGCTGGGTGAATTACAGGATATGTGAAGATGAGTGGCAGGATCAGGAAACAAGGGAAGGAGAAAGTCCATGAGAAAATGTTGTTGAGAATCTTCAGGAATATTCTATTATGAACGATGAATCAGCTTAAGGCTTCCTGCATGGAAAGTAGATGTGGACTTAACATTAGACAAACTTTCCATCCAGGGAACTGAGCCTTTCTCATTGTATAGGCAAAAGGGAAACTTAATACTTTAGTCCCAAGTTGGATGTGTGAATAAGAACCATTATTAATCTAAGGAATGGAGCATGCATCTAAATATGGTTTCAGTTCTTCCTTTTAGACTGACTACCAGTACCCAGTGGATCTGAAGGATTAAGCCTATGCATATGCCTACAATTAAGCCTCTAACTCTTTAATCCTAAACATGTTTGTTAAAAATTCAAAGCCTTTGCCTCATATTGGAAGAGACACCTAGAAAGGAACAAAAGAAAACCCCAAATCTAGGGACTATTATGTTGTCCCTGATCTCATATTCCTCAAATTTATTTTGACTTTACACCCAAAATAATTACACGGAAACTGTATTCTTTTAAACATTGCTTGGCCCATTAGCTCTAGCCCCTTATCGGCTAATTCTCACATCTTGATTAACCCATTTCTATTAATGAGTGTAGCACCACGAGGTGGTGGCTTACCATGAAGGATCTTAACCTGCATCCATCTTGGAGAGGAGAGCTATATTGTCTTCCTCACTGCCTTCTTCCTCCCATCATTCAGTTCTGTTTACTCCACCTACCTGTGTTCTGACCTATCAGACCAAGCAGTTTTCTTTATTAATTAACCAATGAAAGCAACAGATAGACAGATGACCCTCCCAAATTTGTATCCAAAATTGTTCTTTCTTGATTTGTACCTTATGGAGTTAAATTTTTGTAAAGCTATTTTATAACCTAGGTAACTAATAGAATCTTCTCTTTGCATCTTTTAAGGAGCAACTTTTAATCCCCAGCAAGGCTTTATATTCTTAATCATTTCAGTCAGTAAGATATTCATTTAATAGTAATGTATAGATTGAGGAAACTGTTTACAAGTTATTTCAAAAAAATGTTAGACAAAATATTGGCACACGGTAGAACTGTTTAACATCTCTTGTGTGGGAATTTTCCACTGATACCTTTTAATGAGCAGAGAATTATTAGAAATAGACAATGTAAAGGCAAATTTTTTCTATCCAAGAGGTATACCTTACTATACCTTTTAA